CTACTTTTTTTTTTTTTTTGAGAGGTTTTTGCTATAGGGTGAGTGCACTCACCAGAAAGAGAGAGATGGGGGGATGGCCACACTACGATCCCTTCTCCTCCATTCTCCTCTAGGGATCTTGGGCACACACGCACACGCACCCTGCGTGAGTTTAAGCCACCGGGTCCGGGACTCGAACCAGGGTTGACTACATGGGAGTCCAGCGACATAGCCATTACGCTAACTGCTGGTTCCCATTAAATAATTCTTAAAAATACATGTGTGGGGAACCAGCAGTCTGGGCTGTCTGGTCACTTCCCTGTCCCAGCAGAGTCACAGGCACAGATGACTGGAGCTGCCGGATGGAGAGGGGAACCAGAGCCAGAGCCGAGCAGAGGGACAGAGTCCATACCTCACCCCGTCCCCGACTCAACTTTGCACCATTCATTTTCCCTGCGTCCGGAGCAGCCGCCGTTCTCAGAAAGGCTCTGCATACAACCCCTGTAGGTGCCTGAGGTCGTCTGCACAGCGTAGGGGGTCTCACAAATCCATCATCTCCCGGGGACCTCACACGACTCCTCTTGGCTGACTTCCCCATCCTCCCTTAGAGACCTGGAGCAGACGCTTCGCTGTTCACGGAGCGTGTTTCTCCGCTGACTTGGCTGAAGCCAGAGACCGGGGTTAACATCCACCTTCTACTTTCCCCTAGAGTGAGCCTCAGATCCAGGACACCGGAGTTAAGGCCCCCAGCCCAGCCGGTGACCTCGACCACCTAGAGCCGCGTCGCACCCCTCATCCAGCTCTTTTCGAGGGGGAAGTCCCTTCCCTGTCTCTCTCTCCCTCTCTCTGTCTCTGTTTGTTCCTGGTGAGTGCACACACCCCATAGCAAAAAGAAAGAGAGAAATACGCTTAAAAAAAGAATTTGTGGGACCAGCAGTTAGCGTAATGGCTATGTCGCTGGACTTCCACGTAGTCCGACCGTGGTTCGCGTTCCGGACCCGGTGGCTTAAAACTCACACCGGGCACATGTGCGTGTGTGCCAAAGATCCCAAGAGGAGAATGGAGGAGAAGGGATTGCAGCGTGGCCATCCCCCCTGGGGGGTGATTTCTCGCTTTCTGTCTCTCTGTCTGGCAAGCACATGCGCCCTATAGCAAAAGCCTCTCAAAAAAAAAAAAGAAGAATTTGTAAAGAAATCATTGACAAAATCAGTTACAAAGTGAAGTTGACAGAGGACACGATAGCATATGTGATGTTTTATTGTTTCCATAGCATGTGCTGGGTATCCAGCCCTTCACGGTTTGCAAATATTTCTTTACCCTTTACAAAAAAATATTAGAATTTATGAAGTCTGTTGTCATAGGCAAAGTACATTATAATGTGCTCGGGAGTTTGCAAAAGGTTTTGCAGTTTCCAGAGGATGTTCTAATTGCCAGGGACTTTGCACTGTGGAAATCACGTCACTGTTTGCACAGCCAAACACAAGTTTACAGAGTGACGTCTGATTTGCTGAGCATCTCATAGTATTTTGCCTCGAGGTGCATCATCCCAGGGAAGCTCTGAGCTCTTTCCAATGGAGGACTTACAGGACAGTGCACTTGCCACAGAACTGTTGACTAGCTTTTGTTGGATTCCAAAGCACTCAGCACGCACTACCTAAATGGACCCTCAGGAGGCTATGGGGGCAGCAGAGAAATGTTTATCCCAGGTTTCTAGTCGGGGAGAATGGAGCACAGAGAGGGGAGGGAACTTCCTGAGGACACACGATGGGCGAGTTGGGGGCAGAGGTGATTTCCTGGTTCCACCCTATCCTGGCTGTTCCCACTTCTCGGGGCCAGGCCCAAATAGACCTGGAAGATAGAGCAAGCAGCTCTGAGTGACATCCCTCTGGGTCCGGGTTTAATCTCACCAGCCTTCAGGCTGCAGCTTGGGTGAGGCCCTCGTTGGAGGTTGGGTATGTGGGAGTGATTTGGCAGGGGTAGGTGAGGGTCCTGCCCTTGAAGAGCCTGCCTTTCATGTTGAGTGGGGAGACCAGGGTTCTTCCCAGGGAGTAGTCCTGGAGTAAAAAGATCCCAGGTTGAGAGGCTGGAACAATCTGGAAAGCTTCCCAGAGGATGAAGTGGGCCAAACTAGGCCTAGAATGACTGGTAGCAGCTGGAGGAAGGGAAGAAGTAGTTGGGGTGGGAGGAAGTGGGTAAGTAGAGAGACAGAGGAGCAGACAGAATGACAGAAAAGGCAGCATGCTGTGGAGGGACCAGTTAGGAGGGACACAGGCTAGGGCGGTCACTGTGTGCATGGACTCAAGTCAGTTGCCCCTTCCTAGCACTGGGACTTGGGTAAGTCATTGACTTGCTGAGCCTCAGTTTCCACATCTGTAAAATGGGAATAGTATTAACCCCGTGGGTGGGTGGGTAGACCTAATGAGTTAATACTTGCAAAGCACCTGGAACAAGCCTGATGCGTTGTTTGTGTACCAAATAAATGTTAAATTACCAGAAAGAGAGACAGAGGGTCCTGGAGGAAAAATGGCTAGAGCAGTACAGGAAGACAGATCAGGGTGAAAGCTAGAGACACACAGGGTCGGACTCCCAGGGCTTCCTGGGAAGGCAGTGTTGGCTTGGAGGAATGGGAGTGCTTCAGAGCTCTGACCAGTTTGTCTTCAGACCAAGATACGCTGAATGAAGAAGGCAGATTTGAGGAATGATGGAGGACCAGGTGACAGCCCAGCCACAATGACACTCACTACCAGATTCTGTGTTCCACAGGCTGGGGCTATATGGGCAGGCATGAGTTTAAATGTCTTGTTCAACCTGAGGGCTGGGTGCAGGGGCACACATCTGGAATTCCAGCACCTCGGGGAGGCTGAGGCAGGAGGACTGTGAGCTTGAGGCCGGCCTGGGCAATACAGTGAGATCCCGTCTCAAGGAGAGCCAAGCCTGGTGATGCACGTCTGTAATGTCAGCTGGGAGGCAGGGACAAGAGAATCATGACATGTCAAGGCCAGGTGGGAGAGGCCTCAAGTGCCAAAGTGAGATGTCTGACCACCTGTCCCCCCATATCTCCAGCAGAGGCAGCAGCTGCCCCCACTGTGGCTCCCGGCCCTGCCCAGCCTGGGCATGTGTCCCCCACACCAGCCACCACGTCACCTGGTGAGAAGGGTGAGGCAGGCACCCCAGTGGCTGCAGGCACCACAGCGGCTGCCATCCCCCGGCGCCATGCCCCTCTGGAGCAGCTGGTTCGCCAAGGCTCTTTCCGTGGATTCCCTGCCCTCAGCCAGAAAAACTCGCCTTTCAAACGGCAACTGAGCCTACGACTGAATGAGCTGCCATCCACACTGCAGCGCCGCACTGACTTCCAGGTGAAGGGCACAGGTGAGCACAGGGCTCCGTGTGAAGGGGAGTTAGCACTGTCTGACGTGAGCAAGGGAAGAGGAGAGAGGTAATACACATCATGGTCAATTAGTCATGTCTGCTGTGGTAAAGGACAGAAGTTAAGGAAGCAAAGTCATGCTCAATTAGCAATGTCTGCGTGACCAAAGGAAAGGAGAAATATGGCACACATCATGATTGGCTAAAGAGCAGGGATGTCTTCTGGGGGTAAGAAAAGGAAAGAGATGGCATGGTGCCATGTTTTTGTCTTAGGCAGACAGGCAGGAGGACTGCTCCCCCCACCCCACCCCCTCGTAGTCCCTGCCGTCTGGCCCATTCTCCTGCTTTTAGAAGCTAAATCTGCAACACCCACCCCTTATGGCCTTAGGCATTGTTGTGGGAGTGTGTTGATCTGTATCCAGGAGGCTGGGCTGCTCCAAAAGGTAACTGTTGAGCAGATGCCACCATTGTGGAGAATGACGCATGCTCTCTCCATGTCCTACAGCTTCTCTGGGTCATAACGCATCCTCATATTTGCCGTCTTCATGCAGCCTGACATTAAGCACACACCCAAAACTCCGAGAGGGGAGGTTCCCAGGCTTCACGAGGAAGCCTCTCACTCCTTCACCAGCTGCACATTCATTTGGGCGTGACTTGCCACACAGAAATTTCACAGACTTACACAGATGTCATGCTCCCACACGCATGTCACATGTACTTGGACATCCCAATCTGTCATTTACATCCAGAAACCACCCACACTCAGAAGTCACACACCCAGATACACACACATGCCCAAATTCACACACTCAGAAGCCACACTTGCAGATGTGTGCACACTCAGACACACTTATGCACACAGATTCACTCACACTTGGGAATCACACATCAGGATGCCACACGCCTAGATATCTGTCACCCTCCGTGGCTGCCCTTCAGAAGTCTCGTGCCCATTTGTACACATCACAGGTGTTGATCTGGAAGCCCCTTATGCCCGACCTGGGTCCCAAGTCACACCTGCTGACTTCCCCAGCCAGCTCCTTCCTCATGTTCGCTGGAGTATCCCCATCCTCCTTGAGGAGGAGCCACTTGGTGAAACACCACAGACATTTGCCGCAGCACATGCATTCATTGTTCCTCGAACGGTGCCTTTGCTCCTCCCAGCCCATGAGGCCACCACACCTGCTCGGTGTCTCCTGGCTGGCTGGCACAGGCCCCCTGCCCTCATGCTGTATGTCATAGGCCAGGCTGGGTGGGGTGAGCAGGACCCTGTTTCTCTGCCCAAAGCAGGAAAAATGACCCCAGCAAGTGAACTGTGGTGTGACCAGACATTCTGACCGGTCCTTGCTCTTGCTGTACATGTGGCTGAATGTGTTTAAGTTAATACATGTAGTTAAAGTTTTAAACATCTCTTCTGGATTGTGGCCCCACACAGATCTTGAGGTCCTTAATTAGGGTTGCTATTAGCCACCAAATGCCATATACTGGCTTGGCTGTTGGACCCTCAGATGGTGCACACACATAGCACAGGTATTCTAGTGACCATGGCCACATAGTTACTGCAGAGTGGACCTGCCCACCCACATACCTTGGGAAAAGGCCTAAGGTCATAAGAGAGGACCACCTGAGGGGGCAGGGGTGAAGAGCAGGGCTGTGGTGGTGCCTGGGCCTGCGTGCTGACCTCCATCCTTCCCTGACTTCCCAGTGCCTGAGATGGAGCCTTCTGGCACCAACGACAGCGATGGCATCAATGCTCTGTGCACACAGATCAGCTCATCTTTCGCCAGTGCCGGCGCACCTGCTCCAGGGCCACCATCTGCCACGACAGGTACACCTAGCCCTTCTGCTGAGAAAGACACCATTTAGTATCCCTCCTGTATAACCCCTTGTCCATTCAGGCGTATCTTGGAGACTCCAGGAATCTTGGATCCCGAGGCTTAGAACCATGGGATCACCCTAGAACTGGGGATCCTCTTGGAGCCATGTGGTCATCCTAGAACCATAGGCCATCGTAGAGCCAGAGGATCACCTTAAAACGACGGATCATCTTAGAGCTAGGTTATCACCCTAAAACTATGAATCATCTTTGAGCCTTGAGATCATCTTAGAACCATGAATCATCTTAGAGCCATGAGATTACCTTAGGACCACAGAGTATCTTAGGGCTTTAAAACCATCTTTAAGCCATAAGAGCACCTTAGAGCCATGGAATCATTTTAGAGCCATGTATTATCTTAGAACCACCAATTATCAGGACCAGCAGTTGGCATAATGGCTATGTCACTGGACTCCCATGTAGTCAACCGCAGTTGGAGTCCCAGGCCTGGTGGCTTAAACTCACACCGGGTGCATGTGCGTGTGAGCCTAAGATCCCAAGAGGAGAATGGAGGAGAAGGGATTGCTGTGTGGCCATCCCCCCTGGGGGGGGTGATTTCTTGCTTTCTGTCTCTCTGTCTCTCTGTCTTTCTGGCAAGCGCACATGCCCTATAGCAAAAACCTCTCCAAAAAAAAAAAGAGCCATCAGTTATTTAAGAACCATGAATTGATTGGTGGATTGGGGCCAGTAGGTGGTATAGTGGTTAACGTGCTGGATTCCTGCATGGCTGACTATGGTTCAAATCTCAGACCTGGCAGCTTGAAACTCACACTGGGTGCAAGTGCATGCATCCCCAAAATCCCAGGAGGAGAATGGAAGAGAAGGGATTGTGGGATGCCGTGGCTAGATAAGCAGTTCGAATCCTGGGCCCAGCTGCTTGAAAATCACACTGAGCACACGTGCGTACATGCCCCAAATCCCGAGGACACTGGAGGAGAAGGGATTATACCATCCCATCCCCTCTGGGGGTGATTTCTCACTTTCTCTGTCTCTCTACACAGGCTAGCAAAAATCTCTCTCTTTTTTTAGTTTTTTTTAAAAAAAGGAACCAAATGCCATATACTGGCTTGGCTGTTGGACCCTCAGATGGTGCACACACATAGCACAGGTATTCTAGTGACCATGGCCACATAGTTACTGCAGAGTGGACCTGCCCACCCACATACCTTGGGAAAAGGCCTAAGGTCATAAGAGAGGACCACCTGAGGGGGCAGGGGTGAAGAGCAGGGCTGTGGTGGTGCCTGGGCCTGCGTGCTGACCTCCATCCTTCCCTGACTTCCCAGTGCCTGAGATGGAGCCTTCTGGCACCAACGACAGCGATGGCATCAATGCTCTGTGCACACAGATCAGCTCATCTTTCGCCAGTGCCGGCGCACCTGCTCCAGGGCCACCATCTGCCACGACAGGTACACCTAGCCCTTCTGCTGAGAAAGACACCATTTAGTATCCCTCCTGTATAACCCCTTGTCCATTCAGGCGTATCTTGGAGACTCCAGGAATCTTGGATCCCGAGGCTTAGAACCATGGGATCACCCTAGAACTGGGGATCCTCTTGGAGCCATGTGGTCATCCTAGAACCATAGGCCATCGTAGAGCCAGAGGATCACCTTAAAACGACGGATCATCTTAGAGCTAGGTTATCACCCTAAAACTATGAATCATCTTTGAGCCTTGAGATCATCTTAGAACCATGAATCATCTTAGAGCCATGAGATTACCTTAGGACCACAGAATATCTTAGGGCTTTAAAACCATCTTTAAGCCATAAGAGCACCTTAGAGCCATGGAATCATTTTAGAGCCATGTATTATCTTAGAACCACCAATTATCAGGACCAGCAGTTGGCATAATGGCTATGTCACTGGACTCCCATGTAGTCAACCGCAGTTGGAGTCCCAGGCCTGGTGGCTTAAACTCACACCGGGTGCATGTGCGTGTGAGCCTAAGATCCCAAGAGGAGAATGGAGGAGAAGGGATTGCTGTGTGGCCATCCCCCCTGGGGGGGGTGATTTCTTGCTTTCTGTCTCTCTGTCTCTCTGTCTTTCTGGCAAGCGCACATGCCCTATAGCAAAAACCTCTCCAAAAAAAAAAAGAGCCATCAGTTATTTAAGAACCATGAATTGATTGGTGGATTGGGGCCAGTAGGTGGTATAGTGGTTAACGTGCTGGATTCCTGCATGGCTGACTATGGTTCAAATCTCAGACCTGGCAGCTTGAAACTCACACTGGGTGCAAGTGCATGCATCCCCAAAATCCCAGGAGGAGAATGGAAGAGAAGGGATTGTGGGATGACCATCCCCTCTGGGGGTGATTTCTCACTTTCTCTGTCTCTCTACACAGGCTAGCAAAAATCTCTCTCTTTTTTTAGTTTTTTTTAAAAAAAGGAACCATGGGGACCAGCAGTTACCATAATGACTATGTCGCTGGATCCCCACGTAGTCGACTGCAATTCGAGTCCTGGACCTGGTGCCTTAAAACTCATGCCAGGCTCATGTGCATGCATGCCCAAGATCCCGAAAGGAGAATGGAGGAGAAGGGATTGCAGCATGGCCATTCTCCCCTGGGGGATGATTTCTCGCTTTCTGTCTGTCTGTCTGGCAAGTGCCCACGCCCTATAGCAAAAACCTCTCCCCCCCAAAAAAAAAGAAGAAGAAAAAAAAAGGAACTATGAATCCTCTTAGAGCCCTGGGATTACTTTAGAATGGTGGGTTATCTTAGACCCCTGGGGTCACCTAAGATCTATGGATCATCTTAAAACTATAGGATCATCTTAGATTCATGGGACCATCTCAGGGATAGGTTCTTCCTAGAGCCAGGAAGTCTATTGCCTTAGCTCCAAGAGATCATTTTAGAACCATGGAATCACTTTAGGTCATGGTTTATCTGAGAGCTATGAGCTTGCCCTAGAACACCTTCGAATTTTAAACAATTTACGTGCATAACTCTAGAACCAGAAAACACACACTTAAAATGGTTGAACCTATTACTATCTTAGAACAGGACACTCTGAGAGAGATCCATGTGGTTTTGGAATCTTAGGCTCCTAAAACAGTACACCTCAGAATAGTAGCACCAGGGTGACAATCAAAATAGTCAGTAATAGAGGGCAGTGGGATGTAGTGTCAGTCCTGCTTCGGCTTTCCTACCGTCAGGCCGTGAGGTCTAAGGATTGTTCATTCTTAGCACTGCAGCACCATTATGTGGTCCAGAATGGCCAAGTCACCTGCCTAGTGTCATACAGCTGGCGAGGGGCAGCTGGGGATCAAGATGGGCCATCTCTGGCTGCAGGGTCTCACCATGTCATCCTATCCTCATGTGTCCTGTGCCCCTCACCTGGCCCTCTCCTCTCTCCAGGGACGTCTGCCTGGGGTGAGCCCTCTGTGCCCCCTGCTGCCTTCCAGCCTGGGCACAAGCGGACACCTTCAGAGGCTGAGCGATGGCTGGAGGAGGTATCCCAGGTGGCCAAAGCCCAGCAGCAGCAGCAGCAGCAGCAACAGCAGCAGCAGCAGCAGCAGCAGCAGCAAGCATCCTCGGTGCCCCCAGTGCCCACCATGCCTCCTGCCCTGCAGCCCTTCCCTGCTCCAGTGGGGCCCTTTGACACAGCACCTGCCCAGGTGGCAGTGTTCCTGCCACCCCCGCACATGCAGCCCCCTTTCATGCCCCCATATCCAGGCTTGGGCTATCCTCCCATGCCACGGGTGCCCGTGGTGGGCATCACACCCTCACAGATGGTGGCCAATGCCTTCTGCTCAGCTGCCCAGCTCCAGCCCCAGCCCGCCACCCTTCTTGGGAAAGCTGGGGCCTTCCTTCCCCCTGCTGCACCCAGTGCCCCTGGGGTTCAGGCCCGCCCACGCCCCAATGGAGCTCCCTGGCCGCCAGAGCCGGCTCCTGCCCCAGCTCCTGAGTTGGACCCCTTTGAGGCCCAATGGGCTGCGCTAGAAGGCAAACCCGCTGTAGAGAAACCTTCTAACCCCTTCTCTGGTGACCTGCAGAAGACCTTTGAGATTGAACTGTAGCCCAAGCCGCCCTGCCTACCCCATCATCTCCAGGTGCCCACACCTGAGGCACAACCTCTGCCCTAGTCCTGCTCCTTGGGGCTGTGCCCCTCAACGCTCCCTTTAACCTCTTTTCTCCACTATCCCCCACAACCACTACAGAACCAACATTGTAATGCCCAGGTTGGGATGGGAAGGAATTCAGGGATGGACCCAGCCTGGTTAAGGGAGCCATTTCACTGCCAGACTTAGGTTGGCAATTCCCCCTGCCCCTACTCCAGACATGAGGGATGGCCACAGTCCCACCAAATGCCCTTGGTTCAAGCTACATTTCCCAGTTTCTGTTGTTGATCTTCCAACCTTCCAGTGTTGGGCAGGATGGAGGAGGGATGCCCACTTAGGCCCCCCCAGGCCCCACATGTGTGCCCGCCTGAGTCTGGCCGTCTCCTACCCCATACACAGCACAAGCCAAGGGCTTCCCTCTGCCCACCCGCTGCGTTCACTGCCAATGCTGTGCTCGCCCCCACTGTCCCTGCTCCCACACGGGGGGCCCACTTCGTCCTTGGGCCAAGGTCTCATGGGGGCAGGGGCCCCATGGGGCTCAGGAGGTGGGGAGGGGGGAGGGAAAGAAGATGCTCAGTTACCTCACGGTGCCCGCCGGGAAATGGTCCGGGCCGAAGGGGAAGGGGTGCCTGGCGGGTACTTTTCTATCTTTTATTTCCAGATTTTTTTTGTATCTAAACTTGCAGATTTGTATTATACAAGGATAGCCAATAAAGGAAGAATATAATGGTGCCCCTCGGGAAAGCAGGGTGCATGTGTAGGGGAGATGGTGTGGCCACAGAGCCTTTCCTCCTGAGTCACCTCCTAAATCAGGAGGGATTAAAACGGTCTCCCTGAGTAATAACCTCTGAGTCATAACAGGGTAACAGGTACCACTGACTCAGCACCTCCGAGGTGGGACTGAAAGGAACCAAAACTGAATCACCCCATTTCTATTCCTTATAGAGTGTGAACTGAGGAATAAAAAACACAAATTATTAACTACTAATTAGTTCAGTATCAATACTTTAAATAATCAAGTTTGTAATAGTGTATCTTAGACCATGCTGGCATTTCCCGTAACTCAGGCCAGACTTCACCTGACAGAGTAGTGTAGTGTAGTTGTTTGGTTTTGCTTTGCTTTTTATTTTTTTTTTAAGTTTGCCAGAGGAGGCAAGTATTTACCAGAGAGAGAGAGAGAGATGGAGAGGGGAAGGGAGAAAGTATCCCTGATGGGGCATGGTCATGCCACTGTCCCTTCTCTGTTTTTGCGCACACATGCGTGAGTTCCAGACCCAGCGGCTTGATGGATCTCGAACCATGAAGTCTACGATGTGGGATCCTGCACTCTTAACCACCAGGGCACAGGCTCGCTCTTGGTTTTTAATGTTTTGTTTTTTAAGAGTTCTGCTGTAGGGTGCGTGCGCTTGCTGGAGAGACAGAGAGAAAGAGAAAATGAGAACTCACCCCCCAGGGGATATGGCCATACCGCAATACCTTCTCTATTCTCTCGGGATCTTGGGCATGCACGCACATGTGCCTGGTGTGAGTTTTAAGTTACGGGATCCGGGACTTGAACCATGGTTGACTACATAGGAGTCCAGCAATGTAAGCATTACGCTACCTGTGGGTCCCTTTTTTATTACTTTTTTTTTTAGTCATGATCATGCACGCTCAAGAGGGAGAGAGAGAAGGCATCCTTGACAGGGTTTCATCATGATGCAGTCTCCTTCCCTCAGCCCTCAGGGTCTTGGGGGTGCATACTCTCCAGCCATGGTCAGCCATATGGCTTCCAGCTCTGTAGTTTCGTACATGCCATAGAGTTCAGTACATACCATAGAGTCCAGTACATGGCCAGCAGCTTTTTTTTTTTTTCTTGAGAGGTTTTTGTTACACAGCACGTGCACTTGCCAAAAAGAGAGAGAGAGGGAAATCACCCCCCAGGGGGGATAGCCACACCACAATCCCTTCTCCATTCTCCTCTTGGGATCCTGGGCATGTACGCACATGCCTGGCGTGAGTTTAAGCCACCAGGTCCAGGACTCCAACTGTGGTTGACTACATGGGCGTCCAACAACATAGCCATTATGCCAACTGCTGGTCCTAGCATCTTTTTTTTAATGTTTTTTATTTCCTCTGTGAACATGAGAGATAGCACCCTAGTCAGGATCTTTCCATCATGATCCACCTCAACCTTCAGCTAATCCCAGATCGTAGGCAGACATGCCCCACATATTCAGGGAGGTCTGCACACTGGTACTGGGAACCTTCCCATTGGGATCGCCTCTCTGGGTGTCCCATTTTGCCATGAGCCACTATCTGGTCCTCAGCATATTTTCTGAAGTTTCTTTCCTTGGGCCCCTTGATATAACTTAGTGTATTTTCAAAAGATATAATATGTAAATTATATCATTTTAAAAATTTGCCCAAGGGTGTGTATATTCACCAGAGAAGGAAAGCTAGAAAGCACCTACCCCCTCCCACAAGGGGAATGGTCACACTGTAAACCCTTCTCCATTTCTCCCTCCTTTCAAGATTTGGTCATGCGGGGCCAGCAGGTGGTGTGGTGGTTAAGACACTGGATACTCCCACATGGCCAACCATGGTTCAAGTCCCAGACCTGGTGGCTTCCTTTCTCTCTCTCTCTCTCTCTCTTTCTGGTCAAACTAAAATAAATGAATGAATAAATAAAATAATTAAAAATTAAAAAAAAAAGATTTGAGCATGCATGTATACATCCCCAGCATGTTTTTCAAGCTGCCTGGTCCGTGATTTGAACTACACAGGAGGCCATATGGGATCCAATTTCACCAGACCACCAGCTGGCCCTATTTTTTTCTTTTTTTTTTTTCTTTAGGGAGACTTTTTTTTTTTTTAAGAATCATTTTCATTTACTTATTTATTTTAATTTGATCAGAGAGGAACAGAGTGAGAGAGAGAGAGAGAGGGAAAGTAAGAAAGCAACCTACCAGGTCCGGGACTCAAATTGCAGTCGGATATGTGGGAGTCCAGCGCTTTAAACCATCACACCACCTGCTGGCACCATCTTTAGGGAGATTTTTGTTATAGGGCACGTGCACTTACCAGAGAGACAGACAGAAAGTAGTGAGAAATCACCCCCAGAGGGGCTGGTCGCACCACAATCCATTCTCCTCTTGGGATCTTAGGCAAGCATGTACACATGCTTGGCGTGAGTTTTTTTCTTTTTTTTTTTAATTAAAAAAAATTATATTTACTTAGAAAAATTCAGAATGTTGGGACCAGAAGTTAGCATAATGGCTATGTCGCTGGACTCCCACGTAGTCGACCCTGGTTCAAGTCCCGGACCTGGTGGCTTAAACTCACGCCAGGTACGTGTGCGTGCGTGACCAAGATCCCGAGAGGAGAATGGAGGAGAAGGGATTGCGGCGTGGCCATCCCCCCTGGGGGGTGATTTCTCGCTTTCTGTCTCTCTGTCTCTCTCTGTCTGTCTGGCGAGTGCACGCGCCCTATAGCAAAACCTCTCAAAAAAAAAAGAAAAAAGAAAAAGAAACATTCAGAATGTCAACAAAACAGCTGTAACATTTTTTGCAATTACAGAGTGGTATTCAGTTAAGAGGAAAACAATTATTTTGTATAAGCGGCATCAGAGAAAACTGAAGATGAAAAAACTATCATCCCCATGTATAACTAATTTGTGCTGTGCACCAAGAACCTGCTTTAGATTTCCATGCCAATTTACAATCCCCATACTGTACCAGGCAAGGTTAGTGGCTATTGAAAATGCCACCAAGACAGGGGTGTCCAAAGACACATTTGGTAGTGTGTTAACTATACAAAAAAAGACACTGCACAGTTTAAAAACAAATCTTACACAGCCTTACATTTCATTTTTTCTTTAAAAGGAGTGAGTTGAGTTGTATACAGGGGGGTTAAATGCTTTATAAACAAGGAGAGGAAACTGCTAGAACCAACTTATTCATTATCTTCATCTTCTTCCTCTTCATCTTCCTCATCTTCTTTCTCCTTTTTCCTCCTCCTTCCTTTTCTTGCTCTTTTCAGCCTTAACAACTCCCTTTTTTGCTGCATCAGGCTTTCCTTTAGCTCGGTATGCAGCAATATCCTTCTCGTATTTTCCCTTCAGCTTAGCAGCCTTCTTTTCATAAGGCTGT